ATCCGAGAGATTGCTGTACATAGGATTTAAAAAAAGTTAGCACTAGGTCAAGAGGCAGAGCAAGAAACCAGCAGAGAGGAAGTAGGAGAGACTGTGAGTTAGGGGATATTTAGGACAGCATGGAGAAGAAGAAAAAGCTCTTACCTCAAGCTCTGGCTTTAGCTTTGGCATCAGCTCCTCAGCTCCCTGGCTTTTTGGGCTTTGAACTAGCAAGCCTTTGGCCTTGGGTTTTTTGGCCTTTTCCTCCTGGGCTGTCAGTTGAGCTAGTGAAACTTTTAGGTTTTGTTTGTTTGTTTGTTTGTTTTTTGTTTGTTTGTTTGTTTGTTTTTCCATCATGACCTGAGCTGAGAAGGAAGTTCAACAGGGTGCTTTCCCTGCCTCTCTGAGATAGCAGGGTTTCACTGACGCATATGGCTCTTGAGTCTTTATTGGTAAAATAGAATGCTTGGGATTTTCCTTCTTTGACACACCAAAATATAATCCAAATCATTCCACTTATCATGTCACTTATACTAATTCTGACCTTTATCAACCAAGCTATTTAGTTTAATTTATGTCATTTTATGTGCATGGAAGTTTTGCCTGCATGTGCATTACTTGTATTCCTGATATCGAGAGGACAGAGAAGGGTCTCAGATCGTCTGGAACTGGAAGTTAAAAACAACTGAAAGCCACCATAAAAGTGATGTAAAAAGAACCGTGGGTGAAACAAACAAACAAAAACATGACTTCTATCAACTGACCTATATCTCTTGTACCATCAAATCTCACAAACACACACACACACACACACACACACACACACACTCACACACACGAGGGGGGTATGTAATCTTTGGTTCTTAAAGAACTTACATATTACATATTTGATAGGTTGCACTTGAGTGAGAACTAGTCATTAGAAAATTGTAAAGATAATATCAGGTTTTGTATATTTGCTCCTGCTTTTGAGGTTCACCTGGGCCAGTGCAACATTTACTCACAAAGTAAATCTCCCCCAAGCTTTAGGGCACTTTGTCCTCTAACTTACAATCATTTGTAATTATTTGAAGGGGATATGAATGGGGATGTTTCATTCAGAAAATGTCATGAAAAAAAAAATCACCCCTTCTATGTCTTATTTCTTTGCTATTCTGTGAAAATGTGGCTTGATTAAAGAGCAGATGCTTTAAAACATCTTTGTCCATCTTTTCAAGTTATTTTCATCGAAATGAAAATTAAGCAATTCTGCCACAGTCCAAAAAAGAAAAAAATTGAAACATATATTTTAATACATCAAAGAAGAGAATCCATTACAAACAAACAAAGACTCTGAAATGAGAACTATCTACAGTACAGTCACAAAAGAAACCATCCTTATTTACTATTAGCAAGGATTCAGAGTCAGCATAGGAAGGGATATTAAGAAAAAAACAAACAAACAACAACAACAACAAAAAAACTCCTGGTGTTAACCAAGGACCATGCATGGAGATAACCTCAAACCCCTGCACGGATGTACCCCATGGCAGCTCAGTGTCCAAGTAGGTTCTCTAGTAAGAGGAGCAGGGGCTATCTCTGACATGAACTCAGTGGCAGGCTCTTTGATTACCTCCCCCTGGGGGTTGCAGCCTTACCAGGCCGCAGAGGAAAATGATGCAGCCGGTCCTGAAGAGACTTGATAAGCTAGGGTCAGATAGAAGGGGAGGAGGACCTCCCCTATTAGTACACTATGGGAGGAGAAGAGGGAGGGAGGGTAGGTTTGAGAGGGACCAAGAGAGGGGGCTATGACTGGGACACAAAGTGAATAAATTGTAATAATTAAAAAAATTTTAAATATGCAAAAAAATAAATTAAAAAAAAAGAAGCATTGCTCATTCTGGAACTAGAAGATTTGTCTGAATGCATTTATTCACATACAGGATTTAAGGAGAAGTCTATGCTCTGGTCTCAAAGATGCTGTCTACATGTCCTAAGCCCTGGTACTTGGGTACCTGGTGACTATAGTTAGAGATAATTTCTTAAAAATGTAGGAATGTTTTATGTTAACCTAGTAACTACCATCCTTAAACATAACCTAGAGTTAAGTTGTATCTGTACAGGCCTGGGCAGATTTGGCCAGGGAATTAGATGTCTGAACAAGGTTACACCCGGTATGTTTTAAAGCGTGCTTGCAGGAGAGGATCATGCGGATATTCTGCTGGCTAGATCCTGCAGAAGGATGTGTAGGATCTGTCTGGGTGGAGAAGATGGATATGAAATGGGAGGAGCATACAGTTCAGGGGTAGGCGGGACTGATCCTGGCAATGGACTAGAGGTTGGACTTATGACCCACCGACCAAAATAAAAATTCTTTCAGGTTCTGAAAAAAAAAAAATCCAACTACACAGGACTAGCAAAGTTATGGATCTTCGAAGATAACCAATAATCACTATTTTTAAAACCATAATCCCTAACTACACCCTAATTAGTTGTCCTTATACCCAGATAAATGTAACCTTTACCTCTTATCAAGAAAACGACTTCATTTTACCATTATCATCAATAGACTGTTTATCAAGACAAATAATCAAAAAGATCATTATTAAATTATACCGTGTAGCAGTGGACTTAATGATACTGCATATTAATTAAAATATCTATTAATATACTTAAGTAATCTAGAGATCCTGTCCCATTAAACAGCTACTAGATATTCTTTTCCTCAGTGAATCAAACACCATATGAAACAGATCTTATATGAAGAGAATATGCAAGTCTTACAAAACTTTTAAAATAAAATAACTTCTTATATATACTTAGAACACAGTAGAATGAAATTAAAAATCAGTAAGAATAACTACAAAGTGTGTACAAACAGAGCTTTATACATTAGAATGAAGAGTATGGCACTAAAGAAATTAAAGGAGGTGCCAGAGAATAATTCAGTGGTTAGGAGCACTTGTTTGTATTCCGGAAAAGCAGAGTTCAGTTCCTAGCAACCTCATGGCTGCTCAGGACCCTTTGTAACTCAGAGTTCCAAGGGATCTGAAGTCCTCTTTCCAAAATCCTGCCATCAAAGACTACTTACCTTCAGAGATCTTGTACCAAAGCTAGCAAGTCCTCCCTTCTGTACTCTACATAGTAAAAGGAATGAGGCTCCCAGCTCTTGCACAGTTGGTACCTCTCCATTAGATCCACAAGACCCCACAGTGTTGTGTTTGTGTGTTTGTAAATGTGTCTATGTTTCCATCCAATCTTTATTCCATTGCAGCTCCCTTCAGGTACAGTAATTGGACTTAGACCTGCTCCATGAGATAGACCTTATGCATTAACTATGACAAGAACACATGCCTGGTGATATCACGGGCTCACGGGCTCTAGGGGGAAAAAAAAAAGAACTATTAACATTTGATAAATGGAAATGTTAAATTGCTTACTCTATACTTATCTTTACAATTATAGATGAATGTATTTATAGACTGTTACCAGAAATGCTTCTTTTTGGGGAAATAACAGTACAGACACAATACATAATGCAGGGAATAAGAGATTGCGGAGTGCTCAGTTCCAAACGTAATGTATTTGTCATACCCCTCAAAAATGTCAGGGATTATCAGGAAAAAGAGAAGACAGACTGTCAAACACAAGCACTGTTACATGACCACATCATAACAGTGCTTTCTGAGATGAGAGTACTGCCACACATGAACTCACACAGATGTGACTACATGCACAACACCTGCTCAAGATTAACTTGACAAAGGGATGGTGTTATGAAATCCTACCCCTGTCTGGGAAGCTATTGCCAACTGATGGCTCTGAAGAAAGGAGAGTCAGTGTCCTTGAGAGGTAGAGTCCCTGATGACTCCATACACTACAGGAGGTAGATTTATGCCGTGCATATACTGTCCTATTGACTCCCAACACTACAGGAGATGGGTTACACTCATGCATACACTAGCAGCACTAAACAGACTCAGTAAATTTAAAAATCAAAAAGCACATCAAGCTGATAGGGGATACAGGTAGAACGATGGGAGAAGATTTGCAGAAGCAGGAATAGAGATGTTTCTGATAACTTACTTTTTAAACCCTTTTTATTTTTATTAATTACAGGTTATACACGTTGTATCCCCCCTGTAGCTCCCTCCTCCCCTCCCAATCTCACCCTCCCTCCCCCTTCTCCACCCATGTCCCTCCTCTGGTCCACTGACAGGGGAGGTCCTTCTCCCCTTCTTTCTGATCTTAGTCTATCAGGTCTCATGAGGAGTGGCTGCACTGTCTTCCTCTTTTTTAAGACATAAAATTACATTAAGAGTTTTAAATGTCTATAACACTATTATCATAAATGGACGGGTCAACTCTAAAAGACTTTGGAAATCGAATCAGTGATAACCGAAGCAGTCCTGAGAAAAATGAGTGGTGTGATAGTGGTCTTTATTTGTCCTGGGGAGCGTGCTTCAGTGGCAGAATGTCTTTATTGGGTGGCCTGTTGTGTGGGGTATTGTCTTAATTGGGCTCATTGATGGGGGAAGATACAATGGACTTTGGGCAGCACCACTTGGAGACACGGAGCCAAGCACAAAAAACTGTTTAATTTGACGAAAGGATATTTCCCTCTTTATTTAAAGAGAATGTGCAAGAGAAACTAGAAGAGTCAAACACAACTAGGGAGAAAGCTCATTTACTTAGCTGATAGAGAAAAGATATTATGCAGTACGAAACTTATGACAAGGAAAAATGAGCTCTTTGGACAAAGATATGATTTTACTTGTGAATATGAATTTACTGCTTTTTATAAAATTTATGTATGTCTCTAGCCCACATTTTCTAGAACTGAATTCAGAAAGGAGAAATTCAACAAAGAACATGGCCATAAATATTGATAAAAATCTTTCACAGACTCCTGTTCCCCAAAGAAGAATTGCAAACTATCACTTTAGAAATATGTGATTTTTTTCATTAAAGAGAAAAACTTGACAACAGAAACTTTAACAAAGTATGGAAATAAACTTGAAATCCTTTTTTCTGTTTAACAGGGAAGGCTGCAGAGTGCAAATAGTTCCTAGTACAAAACTATTGCAGTGAAGCAGAAACACCTTGGTATTTATTGACATTATTGACTTTAATATCTCTTCATTTGTGACACCATTTGGGACTGACTGACCGGTAATATTCAGGATTAACACCAAACAAGTCGTTTTTTAATAAAAAAAAATATTGGCAGATCTTTTATCATAATTACTTTTTAAATCTAAGTAATAATTATTTCAAATTTAATAAGATTAAAAATAATATTTCCTTGTTTTTATCACTGGGTAATATTCCATTGTGTAAATGTACCATAATTTCTGTATCCATTCCTCAACTGAGGGGCATCTGGGCTATTTCCAGCTTCTGGCTATTACAAATAAAGCTGCTACAAACATGGTTGAGCAGATGTCCTTGTTGTATACTTGAGCATCTTTTGGATATATGCCTAGGAGTGGTATAAGTGGATCTTGAGGAAGCGCTATTCTTAATTGTCTGAGATAGCACCAGATTGATTTCCAAAGTGGTTGTATAAGTTTACGTTCTCACCAGCAGTGGAAGAGGGTTCCCCTTTCTCCACATCATCTCCAGCATGTGTTGTCACTTGAGTTATTCATCTTAGCCATTCTGACGGGTGTAAAGTGAAATCTTTTGATTTGCATTTCCCTGATGACTAAGGAAGTTGAACATTTCTTTAAGTGTTTCTCTGCCATTCGATATTCCTCTATTGAGAATTCTCTGTTTAGCTCTGTACCCCATTTTTAATTGGATTACTCGATTTGTTGCCGTTTAATTTCTTGAGTTCTTTTTATATACTGGATATTAGCCCACTGTCAGATATAGGGTTGTTGAAGATGTTTTCCCAATCTGTAGACAGTCGTTTTGCTTTGAGGACAGTGTCCTTTTCTTTACAGAAGCTTTTCAGTTTCATGAGGTCCCATTTTTTGATTGTTGCTCTTAGAGCCTGGGCTGTTGGAAACAAGGAAATCATGAAATTTGCATGGTGGGAACTGGAAAAGATCATCCTGAGTGAGGTATCCCAGAAGCAGAATGACACATAGGGTATATACTCACTCATTGTACATATTAGACATATAATATAGGATAAATATACTAAAATCTGTACTCCTGAGGAAGCTAATCAGGAAGGAGGACTCTGGCTAAGATGTTCAATCCCCATTCAGAAAGGCAAAGAGGATGGACATCAGAGGAGAGAGAAAACAAGGAACAGGACAGGAGTCTACCACAAAGGGCCTCTGAAAGGCTCTACCCTGCATCATATCAAGGCAGATTCTGAGACTCATAGCCAAATTTTGGGCAGAGTGTAGGGAATCTTATGAAAGAAGTGGGAGACAGTAAGACCTGGAGAGGACAGGAGCTCCACAAGGACAGCAACAGATCCAAAAAGTCTGGGTACATGGGTCTTTTCTGATACTCCAGCCAAGGAACACTCATCGAGATGGCCTGGAACCCTTGCACAGAGGTAGCCTATGGCAGTTCAGTGTCCAAATGACCTCCTCAGTATTGAGGACAGAGACTGTCTCTGACAGGAGCTGATTGGCCTGCTCTTTGATCACCTCCCCCAGAGGGGGGGCAGCCTTACCAGGTTACAGAAGAAGACAATGCAGCCACTCCTGATGAGACCTGATAGACTAGGATCAGAGGGAAGGGGAGGAAGGAGTTCCCTCCTCCCAGTGGATTGGGAGAGGGACAGGAATGGAGAAGGGGAAGGAAGGATTGGGAGCGGAGGAGGAAGGTAGCTACGGGGGGGGGGGGGGGGGACCAACTTGAATAAACTCTAATTAATAAAATAAAAATACTTAATGAAAAAACAATAATATTTCCCAGGAACTTCAAAAGTAGGATTTTCAAAGGAGAAAGGAGAGAGAATTTTTTTCCCCATCAAGTTCATGAAAAACAAAACAAAACAAAACAAACAAAAAAAAACTGTTCAGTCAAGAGCTCCATCATGTCAAAGATTTCAAGATGCAAAGAGAACGAGAGAAGTAAAACAGAAAGTAGGAGTCGATACCAAGCATGAATAAATCCACGCTGTGGTTACACTCCAGTACAGGCCTTTTGGGCAAATAATTTTAGACCACAGATAGACACAGATATAGAGATAACAACTTGAAAATCCTAGCCTGATTATAAATTACACGTGAAATGTTGTTAGATTAATTACAAGAAAAAATATAAACACTTAAGTTATACTCCAGCTAAATCTGGGGACAATATTGGAAAAACAAGACAAATGTGAATCCTGTGAAAGAACAATTAAAATTCAGTTCTTACATGTGAAAAATAGAGCTGGTTCAAACCTATGGAAGAGTTTCACAGAACTACAATATTTACATTTGTATCGTTATTGTGCATGAGTGCATGGTGTGTGTTGTAGGTTTGCATACCCCTGCGCAAGCATGGATATCAGAAAACAACTTCCTGTGGCACTTCTCACTTTCCACTTTTCAATTTAGGGACTTGAACTCCTATCACCAGTTTTGCTTGGGAATTGTTTTTATACAGTGAGCCCTCTCGGTGGCTTAAAAGAACTCAAGATGTTAAGAAGCAAGAAAACAAGCAATCCAATTAAAAAATAGGGCACAGAGATAAAAAAAGAATTCTCAATAAGGACTAATGAATTGCAGAAAAACACGTAAAGAAATGCTCAATGTCCTTAGTCACCTGGGAAAGGAAAGTCAAAACGACCCTGAGATTTCACCTTATACCCATCAGAATGGCTAAGATAAGAAACTCAAGTGACAACACATGCTGGAGAGGATGTGGAGAAAGGGGAACCCTCTTCCATTGGTGGTAGGAATGTAAACTGGTACAACCACTTTAAAAGTTTAGACTTCTCAATAGAGAATTCTTTAGCTTAGGTGTTGGAGAGACTCAGTCTTGGAGCATGATTATTAGTCACGTGTGCTCACACCCCTCTTAATATAGGGCAATACTTCACAGACTTATATAAACTCTACTTGCCAGATCCTTCTTTAGATTCAGATTCCTTACTATGCGGTGCACCCCTATATGACATTCAGTGAATAATTAAGCTATTTTATTGTGCTGTAATATAACAGCATGCCACTTAATGATCTTGTGTTCTTTTAAAATGAGTCCAGTAAGTGGAAGGATATGCACAGATTATTAAGTCATTTATTTACACAAAATTATTTCTAATATCTAAAAGCACAAGGACATCAAAAATTGAAAATCAATACTAAGCCATTTAGAAATCTTTAGGGCAAGTGTGAGTTGTTTTATTTAATCTAACCTTAAAAATATTGACTATGATATAATATTTTACAAAATGCCAGCATGAACTCATTACGTTCTCTAAAGCTTTTTATTACAGTCTACAATTAAGATAATAGTGTATTGCATGATATTTTAAGAGCTTTAAATAAAATGAGAAATTATACACACATATTTTTAGCAAGATTCTCCCACCAGAACAATATATCGTGGACATATGTACCTTTGTTTTTATTAGCTCAAAGGTCCTCACAACATATATTATGAAAATTTATAGCAACTGATATTTTACTTTTTTCCCACAGAGGATAGAGCAGAATACAAAGACTTTGAAAAATATGTGTTGCAAATCAGCAAGGTTAGGGCTCTAGCTGGCAGAGTGTCTGACTAATGATAGTGTGCAGTGTCACTCATTAGAGAGTTTCCTGTAGCTTTAATAGATGTGAAGGTCACGAATTGATATGTCCAAAACAATATAGTCTATGACAATCTAATCACATGTGTTAGTTTTCTAGTAATTCATGAGAACATATTTCTGTGAACTTAATATGTAATTTAATCTGATTTAATTTTCCCTCTGACAAGTCTTATGAGAAAATGTTGTTAGGCATTGTGGGGAAAAATCTCAGGAGTTTCACAGAATAAAGAATCAATCCCAATTCTCTAGTTATAATATAAAAAAGTAAACACCTCTTCTGGATTCTTCCTTTATATAGATGTCTGAGTTTGTGGATCTCTTGCATGATAACAAACATCCAAGAGGAAATGCTATTAGGATTTCAACCAGGCACTAACGCTTGCATTATATCCACATAACTCTATTCTGTTCATTCAGTTAGGGCTACAGAGTAAAGAATCTTGTTATGTAATTAGAAAACGAGACTTTGTTTGGGCACATTTTTTTTCTGAGACTTTAAGCAAGTGAAAATGTGCAAATGCTAGTCCCTACATCATCTGAAAATGTATTTATAATAATATCCATTCATTGACTGTTGTGAAAATCAGATAAACAATACGTGTGGAAAAACTAGGTCCAATCCCTGAATAAAAAATATTAAATAAAAGATCCTTATAACTGTTTTATAATAAAATATTGTTTAATGTTGCTAATTAGAATTATTTTTTTTATTCTTCTTAACAGTACAGACTTAATTTTTATTTTATTGAAAACAGATTTTTTTTTTCATACAACATTTTCTAATCATGGTCCCCTCACCTAAATCTTCCTCAATAATTCTTTTCCCAACAAGATCCTCACCCTTTCTGACTCTCTTTAGAAAACAAACATCCATCTAAATAATATTAATAAACTAAGTTTAAAAATAAACCACAATAGGACAAAAATAAACAGAAGGATCAGAGACAAAAGAAAAGGTACGAGAAACACATGTAGATGCAGAGACACACATGTTTGTGCACACAGGAAGGCCATAAAAGCGAAACTGAAAGTCATAACATATATGAAAAGGACCTGTAAGGTTAAAAAATAAATGATGCCCTGACACACATCATTATGAAACAAGAACCTCAGTAGATGCCAGTGTGTTTGTTTTTTCGTTTTTTGACTGATCCAAAACAGAGACTAGACACTAGGAGAAAACCAAACAACACTCTCCTAAAATAATGTAGCAATAAAACCTTACTACATTCTGCTGTCCTCATAGATCAGCCCCTTTCTCAGCCTTCCTTAGAGAAAGTTCTTCTGCAGCAGATGGGAACAAAAACAGAGACCCAGAGTCAGACAATGTGGAGAGTGAGAGCCCTAGAACACTCAGCCCTAGATGGGATATCACTATAAATTTCCTTTTCTTGTGGTTCAGAGAACTTTGTAGCAGAGTGTGAGAGCTAGAGGGAGAGGGAGGGCCTTGAGGAAACACAGCCTACTAAGTACAGAGTTATTTGTTTTTTAAATGACATTGGCTCTATCAATGAATTAACACATTTTAGTTCTATATTT